ACATAGCAATAATAAAATATGTGCTATATAGCGACATGCTTGACTACCCTGAAGGGACACGAGCAGCAGCTGAACTCGGTTGAAATGCGAATGCTCAGATGGATGTGGTGTCAGCAAAAATTACCATATTCGGAACAGTTTCATAAGAGGCACTTTAGGTATATCACCAGTGTCAGAAAAGCTGATCGAAAGCAGGCTTCGTTGGTTCGGTCATGCGAAAAGACCTTGCGAGTACGTTGGAAATGTGGTCCAAGCATTGATACTGTCAAAAATGAAAAGACGATAAGTTTAAAGAGAAGATTGCGCCATGTCGTAAAAACGATATGAAACTGCGAGGAGTGATCGAAGATTTAACCAAAAACCGAAAGATATGAAGGAACAGCGGACCCCTGCTCCGGGAATAGGGAATATACTAATGAAAAGGAGGTTGAGAATCGGTGTCATGAATACTGTTAGCGAACCGAACTTTGGTGGTTTGCTTGATCAGCGGCGTGCTTAGTAAATTCCGAATGCAACGGCAACTTTAATACTTCAGTGATCGCTAAAATATTCCGTCGGGAGTTCTGACCACGTGCAAAAACCGTCGCATTGTGATCTTTTGATTTGCAGAGGAAGCGACTCACGACCGAAAATATCTCCTATTACCGTGTTCATAAGCTTATCAACTCTCGTCACACCAGCTGTTCTTCGAAACAATTGCATTTCTGCCGTTTGTATCCAAAATAGTATCTTTTCGGTCAGTATCCAGCGTTCGTGACATAGGCGAGGGCAGATGTGCAGACGGAGTAGAAGACTGGTAGTTTAGCATTACTTTTTATGTTTTTCGTCGCGACAGACCTGTTTAGTTTCCTATTATTGGGCTCAGCTGACCGATTCGTGTGTCTGCTTCCGCCTCCTGCCGGTCATCATTCGCACTACTACCGAGAAATACATAAACGTCTCTACCTGCAAAGCAGGCATTCCAATTACCTGCTTAAGCACACTGAGTGAGGCTCTTGTCAAACTGATCTTCCTTTTATACTCATTGCATGCAGAACCTTGCGAATGTTGGTCGAAGGCTAGCGTACGAAGAAGCGAACATGATGAGATCATCTGCAAATAGCAAGTTATGCAATCGAATTTCAAACTTTGACGTATCTCTCTGCCTACGCAGGGTCTGCTGCCCTAGTCCGTGATAATTATGAGGATAAGGGTACACGGTAGGCACTCTTGGCAGAGTTTAATGCGCAAGCAGCTACTACTTGCCGTTAACCTGTACACATTCTTCTGAGCAGTAGCATGAATATTAGATGCTGTTTTGTAATTGGTCGTTCGCCTCTTATTCGTGCTGCAGCTTCTTATAATGCAACCTGTTATATGCGTTTTTAAAATCTACAATTCCAGCATATACTTGTTTCGCAAATTCGCTGCATTTTCAAACCCGTCTGAAATGAATTATATATAATGTACAGCTTAAGACGTTATATTTGCTTATGCAATGGCAGCA